ATTTGCGTATCTCTACTTTTTTACGGAATTTCATTTCTTATTCCAACCGAACGGCTCGAGCTTGATCGTTCGATCGTGAATTTATACGAGCCTTAACTTGTCGCTTCGAGCTAAACCCGGCGAGCTAACAACGTGAAAAATATTTTCATTTTCCATATAAACAAATTTTATTTAACATTCAATCTGTGGACATCGATTGCACATATTTTTATCGAATTGTTTATCGAGTAGTGATTTTATACAAGCACGAAGGCCATATACGTAGCTTGTTACAATTAATTTTATAACCAAGTTCAATTAACACCGAGATAGTCACTTAAGAACTTCTTCGTTTATCGAAAAGAATTCCAAATATCTGCGCTTGACGCTCCCGCGGGCCCGAGCCAATCTATAATTAAAAATTCTTTCTTCGTCGGATAAAATTCAATTCTTAATTCCAAAACCGCACGGTCGCCGCGCGTCCAAAGATCGAGCTTTTTAAACGAATTTTTAGCGAAGATTTTTTAGCAAATAAATTTAATCACCGACTTGAAAAACCTAAATATGTAATTTCCTGCTTTTGGCCAGTCTCCGACGTCTTTCGTTCGCCGTGTTTAGAATTGATTGAATCGCGTCAACCGCGTACAAGGCACTTAGTTTCCGAATTAAACAAATTTGTCTCTTCGTTATCTTCCATTATCTCTCTGAACGCGCGTTTACATAATAGAAACTATACAGCGAAGCAAATCGCCACAAAGACGCGGGACCCATTTGCAAGGACACCCAAAAGAGACTAAACGCGAGGAGCTTCTCGGGTTTATCAGTCGCGCTCAGAAGGGTGAATTACAACGCGAAACCTCACGAAAACGCTGAAACCGCGTCGGCACGAATTAATGGCCGGGCAGAAAGAAAAGTGGAAGATGTATAGCCGCCAGTGACGGGGAAAAATACCAGCTGGTGCAACAATGTTTACGATAACAACCAAAATTGATTACGTAGCAGCATAGTTTCTAATTTTCTTGGAATAAAAATTTCCTAACACTTTGACTGCCATATGTATATTAAGAATTTTCTATTTTGATTTTGATTAAATAGAAAGTGTAATAAGCGAGCCACTGTAGCGTACTTGCGTACCGGAAACCGAGCTAATCAATTTCGGTTTGGTACCACTCATGATTTCTCACGAGAGCCAATAGGAACAGTAGAACATCACTCTAATTGTTTTGTCGAGTCGCCCAGCCACCTCGACAAAACAGTTTCACGGCTGGTTCTCAACAGCACTAAGCTGATCTGTTCAGTTGAGTTTCCGGCATGCAAGCGCCATTAGTGTACTTTCCGAGAATTCCACAGTACGAGTAACATTCTGTTTTCAACGCCTGTTCCTTCTATTCATGACAATACTGCTTGCAATGTTGTATCAAAGTTGCCTAGTAATATTGCATGTTCCCATTAAGCAATTGATCCACGTTCTCATAACTGCAAATTTCACATGCGCATGGATATACAATTTCAAAACTGCCGACTATAACGTTACCAGTAATTATAAAAAATATGGCAGTATGGATTAGTATGCTGTAATATATTGCGTACGAGTTTAATTGTTCGTTGTGTATTTAATTCTCCATTCATCGCAAAATAATAAAAACGGCTTTTATGCACTTTTCATCGACAGTAATATTTGATAAATAAAAGGGGCGTTATTCCTTCAATTGTATAACACATTTAATTCCCGTTATTCCCGGTAATCCGGCAATTTGCGTTTCCAACGGTGCTCCGATTATACATATACGTGTCGGATTACCGAGATTGTACATAGTTTGCCCATAAATACTGTCGGTAAAATTCAAAGTAATCTACAGTCGACAAATTTAAACGCGCAAAACTGGCAACATGATTAATATAAAGCTGTAGGCTCCTGACACGATAAACTGTAGATAAACTATGACCGGTTGCATACAATTTCTATGCATAAATAATGGAGAAGAGGTGCTCTGTTAAATTAAGAGAGATAAGAATCTTTCTCCGTCTACAATAATCAATAGAAATTGTTGTAACTGGTATAGTCATCGGATAGGGGATGAAATGCCCTTTAAAATGAGTGGTCGTGAGAGTGGATAGCTTTATTAGTTCCGGAGATATAGCGATTTTAATTTCGCGTCGATGCGGTGGCTAGTTCCGGAGATACGAGGGCCCGAAGTGTTTGTTTACATTCTTACTACGGCTTTGTTATGCTCGTTGGCCGCACGTGCACGTAGTAAATAGTAAACGTGACGTGACTCGGTCACTCGGCCGACGTGCGACAAGGAGCTCCGACGCGACGCGTTAGACGAAGACAGCGACAGTCGAATTAAAAATATTACCATCTACATAAATTGCGATATCTCCGAAACGGAAAGTCGGATCGACAAAAACCAAAAGCCATTTTAAGCGCTAATTTTAGGCGATTAAAAGTTACGTTAACTGAAGGATAGATCGCGAAAGAATAGGGCGATACGCGTGAAACCATTGGCGCTTTCGAAGCCCTATTTTCTCAACCCTGCCTTATTCGACGCTTGGAAAATTACCGCGAGTTCCGAACTTCTTGGACCTTAAACTTTCCTCGTCCCGACCTCTCTGCCGAAAATAATAAAGGGAATTTCGTAGAAGCAGGAATCGTGATAAATGGGCGAAATTATAGCTTTGTTCCAACAAGAGGCCATACCGAATCGCTTTTTTACTTGCAAAGGTGTAAGTACTCGAGGGAATACAAGTCACAAAGTAATGATGCCATTGGACTTTCAAATGAAGCATCAGTGATTTGATGGGGCCAAGGCTTTCGATATTTTTTTTGTCCGAACATTTCTCTGCTTAACGAACGTGCTTCCACGATTGTGCAAAATTGTTTAAATTTCGTTACCGGGGGAAAGTAATTCTTCCCGTTTTCGCGAAAATTTTTCGAGACTCGGTGATTTCGTGTTCGTCTGTACGTTTCTCCTTCGCCACCATCTTGGCCCAGTTCGCGGTTGAAAAATGCAGATGGTTCAACCATGCTCCTGGGACGAGCTCGCCCCGAGACGGTGCGACAATACATTTTGCATGAAGCTCGGTCGATCTTCGATCTGGAAGATCGTACTATCTCCTGCGATCTAGTTTACATTCTTATCGATCTATTCTTCCGTATTTCGATTCCGCATCGTCGGCTCTGTATTTCTTTCCGATAGTCGAAAATTATTTTCAGACGCCTCGCTCGAAACGTTCAAAAACTTTTCGATGCAATGGCGTCGTGGAAAACTTTCAAAGCGATTCACAATTATTCCTACCGTAGCGTTTAAAGTAATTCTTTTGCGAAAGACATCGTTATTTTACGAGAGCCACGAATATTTTACGAGAATAAAAAAAAAGGATCGATTGTTACAGTTTACTAAATTGTTACTCGATTCAATAAATCTTTCGATCTAAAATGCTACCATGTGCGGACCCGTATACCACAATTCAAGGGAGTTTGGAAAGGTCGTAAATCTCGCTTAAGCTCGGTCGCGATGATACACGAATCGGTATGTCTTACAGAGACTAATAAAGCAAGACTAATTCGAATGAATGGATTGAATTCTGACGCGTTACGTTTAACAGATACATATAGAAACATAACACGAGACTAATTCAACGTTAACGAAACGAACGTACGGACGTTTGAAGCAATGCGTATGAATTGGCTAACGTGTCTGCTCAATGCTCGGTATTTCTACTTGAATATGCGCTTGGAAACATCAACTGGATGGTACTATCCTTTCTCGAGACCAGAAATAATAGTAAATGCATTTTCAATTATTGCTAGCTAATAATTAATCATTTCTCTCGGTAAAGATCCCGATTGTTTTATTTATTGCAAAATTTTAGAGCACCTTTTCACAGATGGAAAAGTAAAAGAAACGCAGAAACGCAATTTCGTTATTCTTGATTTTCGTTTTATCTCTGACGAGATTAGTTAGTAGCCATCCTGTATTTTCCCTGAATTCTACCGACTAATGAATGATCAGAGCAGCCACTTTGCGACCGACAGAAAAATCAGACGACGCGTAATTTCATCGGGAGGCTTTAAATTTGCCAAACGAAATCCTTAGACCCCAAGGTTTTCTCTTCCGGTAAACATGTTTCCCATCGACGTATTACCCGAGGCTCTGTGATTAACTTTAAACGCGCGCGTCGTATCCCTCTTTTCCGTCCCGACGCTTCGGGGCTTTCCGTGTTTCACACGTCCCCGTCCTTTTGATCTCCCGCGCGGCTTTCCCTCGCGAAAACGTACTCGAGTTTTCACGGGACGAACTTAATCTCGTTTCCCCATTGATTTCTCGGGATTGCAAATCTTTCTTCCAACGAGACGTTCCTTCCCAAACGTATCGATGCCTCGGTTTTCCCTTTTAAAGAAGATGTACCGAGCCACCATTCGCGTTTGTCTGTTTTCAAACATCCAAAATCTCTTTTTTATTTTTATCACGGGCGGCATTTACGATCAACTTTTGGACGAACATAAATGCACGAGTTCAACGAAAAACTATTTGATAATAAGACTTTCGAGATCGAGTCTCTGGATTTCTACAATGATTCGGTAAAATCAACTTCGTCTGGCACCTGATCGTCAAATCAACTAGCTTTCGCAATCATAACACTGATTGCAATTTGACGTGATCAAATTGCTAAATCAATGTTTGTCTAATCATGACAATCAGACGCGTTAGCCAATCTATCGCTACTTCGAAAATATCGACGACCCGAACTATGACCCTGATCAAAATTTACGCTGGTTCAAATATTTATCCTATTAAAACGAACGAGTTTCTAGATAGTTTCTGAGATATTCTAGATTATGAAGAATTCGTCAAATTTTAATTATTATATAATCAAATCGTACGTGAAGGGGTTAAAGATATTTTTCAAATAATTCGATGTTACGACGATCATTCCTTAGGAATTGAATAATTTCTTTTATCTCTGGCGGAACAATGTCGGCAATTTGAGAAATGGAAGGCGATATAGGTACTCACAGTCGTCGAGAGGATACGTTGTTCCAGGCTGTTGAAGATGACCTTGGCCCCCATGAACGGGATGAACTTGGTGATAAGCTGCCCCCGGATCGTGATAACCGTTTTGCCTTTGTCCACGGTAGTTCTGAACCGTGTACGCCCCGGAGAAGATTCTCGTGTACCTGAGGTAGCATCCGCTTGGTATCTGCCACTGTAAGTAAAATTAAAGCTTCGTGCTTTTCCGGTTCCCTCCAGCTTCGCATCGACGAAGAAATCATGCTCACTCACCCCGTAAACGGTGGATGGTATCGGTTGGGGTGGTCTACCGGGACACATCAGCATCCTTCTCCTGTAGTACCGCGGCTGAATGGCGAAACAAGTGTGAACAAGAGCTTTTAGATTGGATTCCGAAGATCGCGAGATTGGCTGGATTGATTTGAATCACCAGCGTGCAGCCATTTTATTATCGGTACAAATAAAACGAACGCGACACGAGCAACGAATCGTCGTGAAAATGTTCTATCAGCGTGCAAAGTGCAACAACAACAACAATTACCTCGATCGAAAGAAAAATCATGCAACGGTTAAATTCCCAAAGAGCGTAACATAATTGCACGTCGCCAGAAATCACGGGAAATCCGCACGCGTGTAAGAAAAGAAATCCCCGACGTTAATTAATGTCACGTGTGCTGAAAGGATTAACATGAATTATAGAGACGATGATACGCCAATTATGCCAGTAACGGTATGGTTATTATGCATGCAGATGATCGGGTGTTTAATTAATAGGTATCCGAACAATCGACAGGTGGGTTAATTGATTTTCAATTAATAGTCATGCTGTTGCATTAATAAAACGATCCCGCGGTCGTCGAGCGATTCAATCGCAAATCAGTTCCCGCCTGTCCGTGGAACGAGATATCGGGATTGGTTGAATTTCCGACCGACCGGGTGGAACTCTTCGAAATAACCATGCAAGTACGCGGAAAAATGCGGAATATACGGGCGAACCAGGATTCCGTGTTTCCGTCGGTTTTACAACCGGGAACAGGTATTTCCATTACAAGAAGGTATCGTTTTTCCTTTGAAAAAAGTGTCGGGGAACGGCTATAAAGTTGTCTGTCAGCACGCGTTACGGAATACCCCCTCCCCCCTCTTCTCGTAAATCGCGTGATAAACTAAGCGAGTGTGGGAAACGTTTTGAAAATTTTCACGGTGAAAACTTCCGAACATGCAACATCATCCCCGAAGATTACGGAATTTTTCTCGACGCGTGAAGAAAGCTGAAGAAGATCGAAGATGAGTTATTCGTCGTTGTCGATAGCATCGGTATGGTCGACAATATTTTAAATAATTGTCGTTAATACGAAATAACGTTTATGAGTAGATTTGAATTGGTAGAATTAGAGTAATGACCGTGCGTTCCGTCATTCTACTGTAATTCAGGGGTTCTAGTAATTATATCTTAAAAGCTTAGAGCGACCATTACTTTCCCGCTCCGAGATACTCATGGATTTTTCCTCTTTAATGAACTTTACGACCGCTGCAGTCGATGACGTCGTTAACGTGACAAATAATATCCGAATAAAATAAAGTATGCCCGCCATAGAAGTGGACAAAGTAAGATTAACAAATAGAAAATGTATAGAGGATAGGATGAAGAAGTGAAATATACGTAAACGAGGAACGGGATGCAACGTTGAAGTTTCAGAATGGCTTGGAAGAAGGAAGAGGAGGCTGGGAATGAGCAAAACAAAGTTGTGTATTCCGACGAAAAAGGAACCAGGCAGAATTTGATCGGTTTACAAAGCCAATCCAGGCTGCGTGAAACCCGGCCAGCGATTCCTTTCAGCTCACCTCGGAATCTCGGCGAAGCTCGGCTTCTGAAAATGTACGGGACACCAGATAAGTTCGATTAATCGTTTTCCATCGCGGCCAATCGATGATATCGAGGCGTCGTTTCACCCGAATCCGACGAAAGCATAATTCTTTTCTTATCGAGGCGACTCGTCCATTAGGCGCGACTCCTCGCGAATGATTTATGGCCGACTCGCGCTCCGTTGAATCTATTAAACCGACGTAATTAGTTGGAGTCGATTAAATATCGAGCCACCGGCTGAATGAACGCTCTTTCATCGTCTCGTACGATTAAAACTTTACAGGTATCTTCTTCTACGAATACTATTTATTTTACTCGTGTCGAGAATAAAAAGACTCGAAGAAACCAGATATGTGTTCTCTCGAAGAACGATATTGAATTTTCAATAATTTTTAAACGAACTTTATTGGAAAATGTTTTTACGTTTTCCGGTCGTACAATATTACTTGTAAAGTGAGATCGATGAAATGGAAGGAAATTATTGTTCGGTCCAGGGAGTGTATGGCTTCGGGCAAGCGAAGTCCCAGATCGACGTAATTTTTAGTGGTCAGATCAACAGTTTGGCGATCAAAAATTCATATTGCGCCATTCTCAGCGGCAATCGAAGTATTTAAATTTAATTCAGTCAATAAATAATATTAAGTCGAACACATCGTGCCCCTTTGTTAGCGTTACACGGAAGAGGATACTTTTGCCTCTAATCAGAATCGTCTATTATCTCGCCTAATACAGCGAATACTTAGCAATTTCCTCGACAAGAGCGCTCGATGGACGTCGTTTCTCGATATCATCGATCTCTGGCCAACACGGCCGCAACCGTCCCTCGCGTTACATAAATTTACCTCGCACGTGTATCGAGAAATGGCATTCGGCTCGATTTCCGGCTGCATCGGAAGCGATGTAGCGCACGTTGTGAATGCCTGGGTACATCAGTTGTCCGGGTTCCTGCGCGGAATATACGCGAGTTAACTTTCGATAGCCAGGAACCGAAGTCCCCTTTGAGATTGAAATACGAACGCCGCGATAGCGCGCCGCGCGGAATTATTATCGAGAAGCATGTGTGCACGCGATGTGTGTTCCGTTTCCATCCGCGGGCCGCTTATCGTTTCAGAACTTCCCGCTCCTCGACGCGATCAATTTCTATCCTTCAATTCCCAATGACCCTTCTGATCTTTCGCCGAGCGAGGAGGATTTCTCCTTGTTCCGGTGAAAATCATTTATTTGCTTTTCCCGTTTTATCGAAATTCGTACTACGACAACTTCTAGAATGTTTAACAACCGTGTTTCTACGCGAATATTTGCCAATATTAAAAAGTTGACAACCGTCTATTTGGAATTTGCGATCGAGCTGCACGAATCTGTTCCTTTTTCATTTTTATTTTCTTCTTCAACTCGACACGCGAACATAATAATCCCGAGACTCGTGTCACGGTGAAGGGAGACATGCTTTAATCAAGTCAGTCAAGGATGTCTTGACACGGTGGAAAAATAATTAAAAAGATACTCGGTTTCAATTTAGTAGTGGTTTGGTCGAATCGTCAGGCTCGGTATACCGTATGTGTAACTGGGTCTGCGAGAAATGATTACTTAATTGGTTAATTGGTTTTTCTTGTTGGTGCCAACGATAATTAAAAAGAAGGGGGTCAAATACTACTCTGCACTACTATTGGAAGAAGTTTCGACGTAGGTATTCGTCCAATCGCGAAAAAGAGTTTCAAGTTTGGAAAATGATTTTTAAGAGCATCAATCAATTTGCTTATTGTTTTATTAACTATCGAGTAATTAGCATGATGTTACAAAGTAATTTTGTTCTTTTTCATCGACACTGTAACGATCCCTGCGTCGACTACGTATAAATTTTTGTAAATTGCACGCAATTTCCGAGTTTTATAATAAAATCCTTTTTACCTGTCGTCTACGACAAAGCCCTCAACGAGTCTGGCCTCTTCAACCGGAGGCAGTTTTGATCGAGGAAACTTAGCAATTTGCTTCAACGTTTGGAAGTGGCAATTTATTAGCCGCGTAGGAGGAGCCAATTACAGGTCACCAATTATCGCCTGTCTGATCAATTCACGAATACGTAATCGCGTTACTGCCGCGACGAGTGACGGACATTCGATCCATTCCCCGTGTAAGTCAATCGATTCGCAGTCACTGCTCTGTTTAAAATTATTTCGAACGAAGTTTGAAAGAAGTAATTTTTATCTGACATAGTTGTTAAGAATGATTTAACTGCCCAAACTTAGATAGTTCACTAGTTGAACCTCGATGGTGAGTCGCGGTTGCCGCGAATTTCAAACCGAATAACCCATTAATTGCGACCAAAGTGTCGTTTTAAAACGTTTTAAAGTGGAACTCGAGGTAAAAGGAGAAGTTGATCCTCTCGCTGGCTCTTTTCTTTTCAGTTTCTTTCCGCCCTCGCCAGTTTCGTGTTCCAGACACGATAGGATAATTAATGGCGGGCATCTTAGCGCGGAGATAAGCGAGAGATTGGTAAGTTCGATCGTTAGAGCAGAAGTTTTAATAAACCGCTCGCGAGAAAAACGGGCGGAAAGGAACGTTCCGAGGGAGAGAGGTGGGAGAGAGGGGGAGGAGGGTGGAACGAACGGTTCAGCGATGAAATAAAGGGGCGGTCGCGAAGGGTCATTTTCCCCGAGATCAAACGGGCAAAATTTCGGAGGAAACGGAGACACAGCGCAACCGAGGATTACACTCGAACTCGATGTCTGCTCACCCTCGTTTTGTAGATCCGCTCCACGGCGACGTTGTCGGTGAACGTTGGCTCCTGCCAGAATATTAAGCGATTTCGTTCACCGGAGCTTAGCCGCACTTCAAAGGATGTCGGGCACGTCGAAACTTTCGGATTCTCGGTGTCTGGAAATAGTAATATAATCAGCCGTGAGTATGGTAAACAAATTACGCCGTTTTGATGGGGATGGTCAGCGAACGTGACGCGACCAGGTGTTTCACTCTAGCTTTAGGATTCTTCGGAACGAGCTAGAGTAGTCAACAATGTTAGACATGTGTTTCTTTTATCAAAACAACTTCAGCTAAAATTTCGACTGAATATATCATGAAATACCTTTTTAAACGTATAACTATTTACACAAAAAGGAAATTGGGTTCCAAATTTTGTCCTCTTTCGTACTAAAAATTGTGGTGCAAGGAAGATGAGCCCGATAAGCCCGTTTTAACGAGGGAAGCAAAACAAATTTTGTTACCATTTCCAACTAGATATCTTCGTAAAGCAAGATTTTCAAGTTTAGTAGCAATTAAGAATAAATCCAGGATTAAGTATGCTTCTCAACCATGATCTGCATTGCTCTTTGGCTATTAGCGCGAAGCCACGATTTGACGAACTGATAGAAAATATGAAACTAGCAACCTCGAACCGTGGTTAGCGCGGACTTAATCGTCGTAATTAGCCCCCAGCAAGAAACTACCAGGACCGGTTAAACCGTTATCGAGCAATTAAGAATTACCACGGCAGGTTTGCCCCCGAGCCTGGATCAACGCGGGAGTCTGTTTCGCGTAATTGCGTATCGACTGCCAGAATCCGGGCTTGCACCTGTACCTCCGTCCAACTGCCTCTGTCCACCGGAAGGAACTCGCTTAAAGGGAGTTTCGCCAACTTTCGAAATGAGTAATTAAGCGGGACGCGGCTAAGTGCACTTCGCCGATGGGAACTAAAGTTGCCCGGTATCGGAGGCTTCGATACGAATGCAACCGAGCCAGGTTTCGTTTACTGTCCCACGGTTCTCGAAAAAGTTTCCTTTTGTTACGCGGGAATCGATCGTCGAGCCCTTGCTCCTCTTTTGCGCGTTCGATCGTTCGTTCCTCTCCTTCGTCTTTCGTTTAGTTCGAAATTGAATCGCGGTTTCGTAACTCGTCCGGCCGCTCGTTAATGCTCTTCGATCCGGGGGTTTCCGCTGAATTGGTAAACGCTTTTGTTTGTTTTCGAGGAAACGTTCCGTTGCACCGACGCATGGACGGCCTGCACCGTTAACCTGTACCCGTTGCACTTTTCGCAAGAGTTGCGAGTTTCTCGACCGTACAACTTCCTCCGGGGAACGATTTTCCGAGTACAAGCAACGACACGAGATAAAACGGAATTAACGGTACGAATCTGAGCGTTTCTTCCCTGCAAAGCGGAACGTTTTACGGCTGTTCGGGCCGCAAGATGGCCGACTTCGAACACGCGTCGACCAAACGGAATCGTATATGGCTTTCAAATAGCTTCCGGTGTCGCGGGAAAACTTATGGGCTCGTTCTTCTTTTTTTCAGTCAAGAAATCTGTGGTCACGTTCGAGCTTCCTTCGAACAAAAGTAATTGCAATTGAAAATATTTTTTCCAGAATGATTTGAAATTTTTCATAAGTCTAATAATAATATTAATTCTCGCGATGAATATCAAGTCACATTTTACTTGTTACAGGTTGTGCGGTAAATGTAATTACACCTTTGGCCGCTTCCTTTCGAACGCGCCAAGTGCCGTTTAAGCGTTATTCCTCAAACTGTCTTCCGGGTAATTTTTTCCCGAGGTAGAGGCGCATCCTTTCAAGCGCGGTGCTTCGCTTGCAATCGCGAACAGCAAGCGGAAGTTTGCTGGTGACAGGATCGAGCAAAAATTCCGTCGTCATCGACGACTCGAATATCGCGAAGAAATGAACTAAGCGAGCAGAAACGCTGCCCTTTGTCGACAATGGCACAATGGCTCTTTGTGGTCTCCCAAACCACTCACAATTTACGAGCGACCCTCCACCGTGAAATAAATATCCCGCGAGATTATGACACGATCGTTCATTAACCCCTTGACATACAATTCAATTTAATTTTGTTTATTGATATTGTTGATCCAGATTTGTATTAAAAAATTACTTTCCCAAGCTAGGTTTGCCACGGTCTAGGAAAGCTAAATCTCTAATATATTCCAAGATATTGCGCGCAAAACCGATAGAATCTCGAATTACAGGGCTCGCGTGATCCATGGTAAATACTAGAACGCTGACATTAATAATAGAGACGTTGCATTGAACGATCAGGGTGGAGAGTTATGGGACACGTTCTTTGCACCCTGGAAACGAGTTACTCATCGAAGGAAAAAATGGAAAAACAAAGGAACCACGTGAGAAAGCCTGTTCGCGGGATGATATGTGATCGCGTATCGTGATTCTTTCTACGCGAACGCTTCGGGGGCAACAAGGCTATTATCTCGCGGTTAAACAGCGCGATCGTAAATCATGCACAAGCGAGATCAAGTAATACCGCTAAATAACGTTTCTATTCGAGCTGCGGTCGCGGCCCATTCATTCTCCTGCGCATTACGCGATATTGTGCCAGTTCTGGTATGCGTACTCTTTCCCTGAAACTTCGATGATCTATCGACTCCGTAAATCCTAGACCAACGTCTTCGCCCTTACGCAGTGTTTGGAACTCCAAACATCTTATATCGTACGACGCGTCATTTATTTTTAATGCACATAATTTGATCATCTGACGACTGTGTATCTATTACCTATATTGCACGTGTCCTCTTTCCGTTCCCATACTTCTCTGGCATTTTCTTCGTACAGAGTCGCAAACTCTCTCGAAAATTCCAGGTCTCTGTCGAATTATTTGACAAGCACGCCGGATATAGTATGGATAGTGTAACCGCCCATGAAACGTTCTCCAGACAAGAGTAGTATCGATTTGTACGGTATCGGATATCCTCCTTACGTTGCCTTTGGGATCTTCTATTATCCTTCCAATATGATTGTCCGTATTGGTCGTCGTACAAATCTAGATTTACCAGAGCCTCGACGATCGAGCTCTAAATAAACTTGATTCACAAAGGCGTCGGAAAAAGAATCGTACATTTAGCCCACGATAGACCGTAATTCCTTTTTATTCGTACCACGAATAAAATTCACGCCGCGTGCTGAAATTAAATTTGAAAAATCAGAGCCCGATAAGACAATCGCGGCGTTGGATATTCGAGCATTGTTCGGGAAAATATATAAGAGAAACGGGGCGCGACCGACGGAGAAACAAATAGAGAATGGGAATAGGGACCAATGAAATAATGTTTCTATGGTGTAAAAAAACTTTTTTATCGATAGTTCGATGGCCTCGCCGGGAAACCGGAGGAGAAAAATAGAGTCGGAGGTAACCCGAAGTGCTGTGTATTTATGTGACATTGCTAGCGAAAACCGTAGCAGCTCTACTGGAGAACGGTTTCCTGTTGAGTGTTATTACGTGCTCGTAGAAAGCAACGGTGAAACAATGACGATTCGATAAATTTAATGGCCTCGGGTTGGATAGATTCGAAGTTGGATTCAGATGATGTTTTAAAAACATTGTTTTCCACTCTCCGCCGTATCGTGCTGTAAAAATAGTCCCAGAAACTCGGAGGAAAATTGGTATCAGTTATTAACCTTTTCTGCTGTGTTTTATCACTTTCGATAAAATTTGCTTCTAGCTAAATAAACTTTATTTCGAGAAATGAATAAAGTTCAAAAATTTCAAAAATATCAAAGTTAAAATTTGATGTTGTATTATTCTCGAGTATATAGGTAAATTAGGTATTTCTTTCAGCAACACTTCCGTTTTGTGTCGAAGCACACATCCAGTGTTTACTTCCTTCTATGACGATCAATACGCATTCTGTCCATAATAATTCAATCGGAAATTGACGCAGTACGTACACACGCAGCATAATTATGTTGTCGAAACGAAAACGCGTTATCGAAATCAGAATAATATTTGCAGCAAGTTCAACCGTCAAATATCAATATTAGGCGTTTCGCGTTGCATCAGTGGATTCATAGAGTAAACAGATTTGGTTATTTATTCTTTATGGAAGTTTGGTCTTTAATGTACTATGATTAACTCACTGTATATTAATTACTCAAGACTCGACTGTATAAAATAAAGAACTTGGACGAGAAAATGTAAACGTTAAAGGGTCGATACGATCACGATGGGCGAGGGGTACCATAAAATTAGCTCCGAACACTCACCTCGGACCCGAATCACAATCCTGCAAGTGCTGGTGTAATTGGACACGGGCGACCAGGCCGTAAAGGTGACAACCGTTGTACCGGCAGGTAAATCCGCCTGTAATTGCTTGGCCCAAGACGGCGAGGCGTCCACGTATCTGTACGTACACATAAAAAAATAAAAATGAGTCGTTGATCGATCTCAAGAAAGATTGAATCCAACTTGTCACAAACGTAGATATCCAATCTCGAGGACTGATCGACGAGCCATTAGCATGTAAATCCACGCCGCCTTTACGATCCAGCTAGTGATCGACGTCTCTAACGCGTTGCGATCCAGACGATTTCTGTATCAGGCTGAATGCCTGTACCGAGTGTCGGTCGGTCGAATAAATAGAGACGCGAGCACAAATACCGGGGCAAAGACGTGTATACACCCTTGGAAGGAACCCTCTAAGCTCGTTTGGAATTCCCATTGTGCTGCGCAGCAGGCTTGCGAGTAGTCCAGGTTGCGACGGAAGATAAACCAATTCCATTGTGGGAACGTATTGCGCGCCAGAGATCCGCAAAAAGAAATTAATTTCGTTGCTTTTGTCGACGTACGGGGATTTTCACGGTAAAAGGGTAAACGTACTATGACGGCGAGATAAATGTTTTAATTAGTTTCAGTCAGGTTGCTCGACGACGGAGACCCCCGGGGCGTGAAATAATCGTCTCGTTTTCCGTTTTTCGATTTTTCCTCCCGTCTTGTTCGATTATTCGTAAATTAACAATTGCAATGCTATATGCCGAGATTGTAAAATTTAATCATCCTTCGACCGACGAGATCGATGTTACGCTTAACTTTATTCCTAATTCAACCCCTTAAAATTGTATCAGAGGGTTGTAGATAGAATACCAACGAAGGCCTTCAGAGCAATCTCCTGAATTTTGTAGGAACCAAGCACAAGCCTGCTGTTTGCAGCGTATAGGTGCACCGAATGTACCATTTTGTACTATCATACTTCCCGCTTTTGATTTCGTGATTTCATTTAACAACCCTTTATCGATAATGGAAATGTGTCTTTAAGAGCAAGATGAAACGTAACTTTATTTGAGAAAACTAATGGTTCCTTTTAGGAAGAAGCACGTGTACAAAGTAGCCTATATTTTAATTCACCGAAAATAAATTTCACGTAGAAAATACATCCATAAAGTCGGTACAATGAAAACGTTGAAAAAATATTTTTACAGATATCTCAAGCGTTAAACGTGGTAGTCGACAGACAACGCGTGAAATAATATGTCGTACAGAAAATAAAGTATACTTTGACAGTACATAAAATGAAACACAATGGCCCTTGTGCCGTTATATTTTTCAAAAGGAAACTGAAAAAAAATGAAAAAAATACTACCGAAACAACGCGTGTACCACAAGTGGTTAAATTCTGTTTAAAATAAAAATATTTTACCTTCTGCATTGCTCTTTGAAACATTCCTTCGCCGGACAAAATTTTCATTCGTACGAGACTATTATTAAACAGCACTTGACTAGCTTTTTACGAAAAGGGTTAACCAACCCAATAGTCTAAAGTCTGATAGAACGTTTCCTTGAATAAAATTACACGTCGTCTTGCTGATATGACCATACACTCGCTTCGTCGTCGAATTTGACTTGCAACGAAAGTAAAGGTTGTTTCTGATACGCGATACAAACTCAATTGTGTTAAATCGATCCCCAATTGCGAAACATCGAGGGTTCATTATATTGAAACCGAATTACCTTTGACGACGCATTAATCATCGCGATAAGATTGATACTGTATGGGAATAAATACCTCCACCAGTTCATGTTGGACTTAGGCTGTGGAAATGTGACGCGTATCGTGTTCTGCCTTGCGGGTAGCTCCACGTCCATGTCTCGGGGACACCTCACGAACGGTCGTGGCATGTCTGAAGCAACAAAGCCTGTTATTAAACATGCGGTTTTCCGTGAAATGTCGGTCGGAATTATAGCTCTGTAGCCAGTATGAGAAGGGACGCTGAAGTAACACCGACGACATACATATATCCTTACGTCATGCTGAAATTATCACGTTCCACGGAACTGTCTCCGTGCTCGTAATCAAATTATCGACTACTCGCTAAATTGCTGTAGGGCTCAATTACCGCGGCGTTCTATTTCGCGTCTTCCCTGTAACTGTCCTGTTACACCGAGCTAGCTAACTGAATGCACGTTCTTACGAGGATCGTTCGATAAGTCCTTACAAAAAGATACAAAACAATGATAAATGTAGTCATAAAATTTGTAAAAAAAGCTTCGTTAAAACGCAATATTAGATTAACAAGGGAAAGCAAGCACACGCGTCGGTCAAGAGCAAAAATTTCGTTGTTGGACCGAAACCACCGAGCGGCTATTGCGGAAAAGAGGAATAGGGCGCTGAGCGGGGGGAAAAAGAATGCAAAACGGCTGAAGACAGCAGAAGGGAGACCGAGAAATGAAATGTAAAAAACGAAAACGCGTCCCTGCAAGCTCGTTAAGGCGTGGCGTTAACGTATGGCGTCGTTAGCAACCGGCCTTTACGCCGGAACTTCCTATTATTAAATGCTGTTTAAGAACGGCCGCGTGACTAATTAAATACGCCGGAGGATTTTCGTTGGTAAATAACTGCCGCAGACGGCGATTTTTCTTCTCGATCATTCGCAAAAACCACCAAAGTAGCTGGCTACTAGGTTCTCCGTTCGAAACGAGCTTTGAAAATGTCAAGATTTTTAGTACGGAAGTAACATCTCCGTCGATAAACACTTCAATAGTCTCTACGGTCATTTAATTAAAATAGTTCTTACCTCGATGCATTCATCCGATAGCCACTGTTCCTAGGTAAAATGAATCGTAATGGTTCTTAAATATTTAACATAAATTTGTAATAGATACGTAGAAAGTAAATAATAATAAAAATATTCTTGCAACGAAACGTCAGATTCTAATAATCCGATTTAATTCAAAACACTCCCGCGGGATTATAGTACCGTGAGTTTGAAATTGAATATTTCCATAACCGTATTACAGTTTAATTTTACCGTAGCCATCGCCAAACCGTTATTAGAACCACAAACAATAGAGATTAATTTAACGAGTTTTCAATAGCGTGAGTCTTCGTCGTAAAGTTCTCGGACCTGGTTTAATGTAGTTCTAAGAGATTAGTGCCTGTAAAAAGATTGGAGAAAGGGCTTACCCGAGTGGTAACGGGAATCGGTCACGATCGATTCTTGAATGCAAGAAGGTTTCTTTCCGTTCCATCGATCACCAGCCATGCAATACCTCGTGTGCGGTCCTTCCAACCTGAAACCCCTTCGACATCGTATGTGACATCCGGTTCCAACCGGATAATCCACCGCCCCCGAAGAATGACCAACGCATCTGATCTGGAACAATAAAAATTGTCAACGGGTTAATAAAAAATTAAACACCTTTTCGTGTAACACCTTCGTCGAAGAAAGTGGAGTTGTTAAATGAGAAGAGTTTGTAGCGAGTGATAAATTGTTATATAATAAATAATTAAGCGCATTTCGCGCAAGAAATTGTCACACACTTCAGCGTGCAGCGGCGGTTCCATGGCACGACATCTCAATTCCGGTGAAACGCAAGTCCTCTCGTCGGAAGCCAACACCAAGTCGCTACTGCAGCTACAGTAGTAACTTCCGGCCGTGTTAACGCATTCACCGTTGCATCCCCCGTTACGGTTCAAGCACTCGTTTATATCTTGGCAATGGCTTCTGTTCCTAGCGAACAAAACCACGAAAGTTTACGAAAATTTTAACACATCGTTTAATTTGCAATTTAATTGGAAATAAATTTAAGAATATTTTTAAATATATACCATGTATTATTTATTATTTGTGTATCTCATATTTTTAAGACGCTGTATGACCGAAATATAGATAAAGGAAAAAGCATATATCGATTCACTCTGAATATCTAAATTCCCAGAAACCTTTAATTGCATAGAGGCGAATTTAATTAATTTCATTACCTTTGATTCGTGACAAAGCCAGCGCGACAAGCACACGCATAGGATCCTATTGTATTGATGCAATCTTGCTCGCATCCGCCGTTGTTCCACTCACATTCATTTATATCTAATTACAGAGGGAAGATCACGTTTACTTACAAGTACCACGGTGTCATAAAGTAATAAAACTACTTTAGATCTAAATAGTAACTAAGCGATTTCCAAGGCATCGCTGTATTCGTGAAACGAACTTTTTCTATGCTACAACCTCCTGATTCGGTTATCTGATGATTGAAAAGTGTTGGAACGCAATCGATCCATCTTATTCGGCCAAAATCACGTTAGGTAACTATGCATCGTCGTTTGACGGCGCTTATAAGCGCATCGACATGCTTGCCCGTGCAATCATCTCCGTGCGATCTAAATCCCTACGAGCATGTGCATCTATAGAAGCAGAGCGTGTTGGTACACACCCTTACGCAAAGCGCGTTTTCGACGCATTCGTCGTTATCTGATCACGGTAAGCTAGACTTAATTGATACGTATAGTTAATCTATCGTTATGAGAAGATATTTTGCACGAACCTACACAATCGTCGCCGTCCAATCGATATCCAGCGCCGCACCCGCAACGAAAGCTGCCGTATGTGTTGATGCATTCGTTTCTCTTGCACGGACCACTCGCGCATTCGTCCACATCTGAAAGCGACCAATCATCGTTCCCCTGAATTTCTGAATCGGACCAATATGTATGAATACGAACTCTAACTATTCTAATTCAGTGCACGAAATTTCTGTAAGACCTCTATGATTTTTAATAATCGTGCTTGTGGTTTTATCTTGTCTCAAGTCCTGCCAATAATATTGCACGTTGCACGTAAATGTTACTCACCGACACACGTAGAATTCTGCATCTCGAAGCCGCCGTTGCAGCCGCACTCGAAGGACCCGACAGTATTCAAGCAGACGTGATCGCAGCCGTGTTGACCATCGCACTCGTCGACGTCCCTGCACTTGGAGCGATCAGTCTCGTCGTATCGAAAGCCTTCTCTACAACTGCAAACGGCCAGACCGTTTTTCTCAGCGCAGATTTGCTCGCAGCCACCGTTGTTGCTTGCACAGGGATCTACTTGGTGGCAAGAATCGTTCCTGAACACGTATCCCGCGGGACAGTTGCACCGATAGGAGCCCAGCTCGTTGATGCACGCGTGCGAGCAGCCACCGTTGTTGCTCTGGCATTCGTCCACGTCCTCGCAGGACTTGAGGTCCTCCTTCAAACGATAACCCTTCGGGCACTGGCACCAATAGCTACCTTGGACGTTGACACAGGCGTCGGAGCAGCCACCATTTTCCATTTGACACTCGTCGACGTCCAGACAGGTCTTGGAATCGGCGCCAAGGTGAAATCCGCTCGTACAACGACAGACGAAGCTGCCTTTCAAGTTGACGCAGGCGTCCGAGCAGCCACCGTTCTCCGTCGAACACTCGTCCACGTCGACGCACGTCTTTCCGTTCTCGTCCAAACGCAGACCATCCGGACAAGTGCATGTCACGCCTCCAGCGACGTTCGAGCAACCGTGGGAGCAATCGCCGTTGTTCACCTTGCACTCGTCGACGTCCAGGCAGCTTCGCGAGTCGTTGGCCAAAACATGACCGTCCGGACAGCCGCATTTCCACGAGCCAGGCGTGTTGACGCACTCGTGAAGACACTCCGCCACGCCTGTCCTGCACTCGTCCACGTCCACGCAGGTTCTCTCGTCCCTCGACAGCTCGTATCCATCGGGACAGGAACAAAAATGGCTACCGATCGTGTTCGTGCACCGATGGGAGCAGTCGCCGTTCCTGTCGAGGCACTCGTCGATGTCCGGACAGCTGGACTTGTCGGAGTGCAAATAGTGGCCCTCGCGACAGGTACACGCGTAGCTCCCCAGGAGGTTCGAGCAGTCGTGGCTGCAATTGTGTTGGCTGCTCAGACACTCGTTCACGTCGATGCAGTTCTTCCTGTCGTCCGGCAACAGCACGTAGCCCGCGGGACACTCGCAATAATAAGAACCGTTCGTGTTCTTGCAGACGTGCGAGCAGCCCAGCTCGACGTCGTTCTCGAATTCTTCGCACTCGTTCACGTCCTCGCAGGTCTTCTGATCCTGCCTCAATCTGAATCCGAGCGGACAGGAGCAGCGAGTCTTGTCCTCTTCGCGGTGACAGTGATGGGAACAGTTCCCGTTGTTCAGTTTGCAATCGTCGATCAATCTGCAAGTCTTGTTGTTGTTCTCGAGAACGTATTCCGGCGGGCAGGAGCAACGAAACGATCCCACGAGGTTCAGACAGTCGTTCGAACAGCCTCCGTTTTTGTTCTTGCACTCGTCCACGTCGTCGCAGACAGCGGGCTCGACGTCGTTCGTCTTGAAACCGTCGTTACAGGTACACTCGAATCCGCCTGGAAGGTTCACGCACTTGTGCGTGCAATTGTCCTTCAGTTCCAAGCACTCGTCAACGTCCACGCACGTGGCGTTGTCCTTCTCGGATAATCGGAATCCGGATGGACACTCGCAGCCAACGAACCCGCCCTTAAACGCGCAGATGTCCGAACAGCCGCCGTTGTCGACCAAACACTTGTTCTCGTGGATGCAGAGAAATTTATCGCCGGAGAGGATCATCCCCGGCGGACACGAGCAGAACGTGTCGCCTCCTTCGTAATTGCAATCGTGGGAACAGCCACCGTTGTCCAGGAGACACTCGTTCCGCTGCACGCAGACGGTTCCGTTCTCGGACAGAATCATTTCCAGCGGACAGGCGCAAGATACTGTGCCGTCGACGTAGCTGCAGAAATGGGAGCAGCCGCCGTTCTCCGTGTAACACTTATTCTCCTCGACGCACGTGGCGTTGTCATCCTCCAGCAGCATCCCGGGCGGACAGAAACAGGACACCGTGCCATTCTCGTAATGGCACAGGTGGGAGCAGCCGCCGTTGTCGATCAGACATTCGTCGATCTCCACGCACGTTTTCCCATCGTCCTCGAGGAGCTTGTAATTGTCCGGACAGGCGCACTCCATGCCACCTTCGATGTTCGCGCAAAGGTGAGAGCAACCCCCGTTGTCCTCGACGCACTCGTTCACGTCCTCGCAGGTCCTTCGATCACCGGCCAGTCGATATCCCGTCGGACATCGACACTCGTAGCTGCCCTCGGTGTTGACGCACGAATGGGAGCAGGCGTTCGTTACCTCGTTGCTCGCCTCCTCGCACTCGTTCCTGTCCTCGCAAGTTTCCTTGCCGCTGGACAGAATATATCCCGCGGGGCACTCGCATCTGTAACCCTCGGGGATGTTCGTGCACGTGTGGCTGCAGTTGTTCGATCGTTCGCAACCGTTCGCAGCGACGCAGGTCCTGTTGTCCTTCTCCAGGATGAAATTTTCCGGACAGGAGCAATTATAACCGCCATCGAAATTTTTACACTCGTGAGAACACCCGTGGATGTCCTTGGCGCACTCGTCGACGTCCTCGCAGGACCGTTCGTCCTCTTTAAGCCGGAAGCCCGGCGGACACTCGCAGCGATAAGAACCGTTGGTGTTCGTGCAATCGTGACTGCACGAACGAAGATCGTCGCTACACCCGTCCACGTCTTCGCAAGTGGTCTCATCGTCCTGCAGTTGGAATCCTTCGGGACACCCGCAACGAGTCTCGCCTTCGTCCTGCTCGTGCACGTGGGAACAGTTTCGCTCGCTGATCGTTCGACAGTTCCTCGAATCCTCGAGCTTCCATCCGGCCGGGCAACCGCAGTCGTAACCGCCGACAGTATTCACGCATAAGTGAGAACAATCGTGCGAAAGATCCTGGCATTCGTCGATGTCCTTGCAAGCTCGGTCGTCCTTCGAGAATACGTGTCCCGCGGGACACGAGCAATCGTAACTTCCCTCCGTGTTTATGCAACCGTGGATACAATCGTGGCGATCTTCGGCGCACTCGTCGATGTCTATGCAACTTTTATCGTCCTCCGCGAGAACGTATCCTGTATCGCACTCGCAACCGTACGATCCTTCTTTGTTCTTGCAAGAGAAACTGCAGTTGTCGAGGTTTTCCATACACTCGTCGATGTCCACGCATGTTGCACCGTCATGGCCGAGTCTGTAGCCCAAAGGACACTCGCACTTGTGTCGAGAACCATCCACGGAGCAAACGTGGGTGCAGGAGGCGTTCGAGCAAGGATCGTCGACGATACAGGTGACTCCATCGTCGGTTAAGATCCAACCGGAAGGACACGAGCAACGATACGATCCATGGACGTTGTCGCAGAGGTGAGAACAGTCGTGGGCTCCTGTCGAGCACTCGTCCATGTCCTGACACTGGCCCTTCTCGTCCTGTCGAAGTCCCGCGGGGCACGCGGTGTCCTCGCACGTCAACCCATCCTGCAGAAGGTTCAAGTCTTCCGGACAACCGCACTTGTAGCTTCCTGGCGTGTTGATGCAGTCGTGGGAGCAATCGTGCTCGTCCTCGAGACACTCGTCGTAATCCTGGCAAGTTCTCCCGTCGTCCTTCAGGACGTAACCGTTGGGACAGCTACACTTGTAGGTGTCGCGATCCTTCAGGCAAACGTGGCTGCAATTGGCTTGGCTGCACACGTCGATCGCGATGCACAGCCTTTTGTCGCCCGCCACGGACATCCCAAAGGGACACGCGCATTCGTACGATCCTATCGTGTTCCTGCACTCGTGAGAGCACCGATGCGTTCCTTCCAGGCACTCGTTCGCGTCCTGACAAGTCTTGGTGTCGTTCCCCAAAACGAAACCTGCGGGACAAACGCAACGGTAGCCTCCTTCCTCGTTCACGCACTCGTGGGAGCATTCGTGGGCGTTTGCGAGACACTCGTCGATGTCCTTGCAGCTACGACCGTCTTCGGAGAGCGCGTGTCCTTCGCGACACGAGCAGCTGTAGCTTCCAGGAGTGTTCGAGCAGACGTAAGAACACCCGTGTTCGCTGCCAGAACACTCGTCGACGTCCGAGCATGTTTTCTTGTCGTCGTTCAGGACGAACCCGGATCGACAGACGCACGAGTAGCTCCCGTGAACGTTCGAGCACTCGTGTTCGCAGCCGTGAACGTTCCCCGCGCACTCGTCGATGTCCGTGCAATTGAATTTGTCGCGACTCGACGTTTCCAAACCGTCCGGACAGACGCACGAGAAGCTGCCCTCGAAATTTATGCAGGAATGGGAACACAAGCTCAGAGCACACTCGTCGATGTCCGAGCAGGTAGCACCGTCGTCTAGAATCTGATACCCTGCAGGACAATCGCAAATCGGACCGTCGTTCGTCTCCTGACACGCGTCAGAGCAAGGTGGCGTCAACGTCTCGCACGTTTTCGATCGACGTTCGTCGCAACTGACATTATCCTCTTTCAAGCTAAATCCAAACGGACAGGTGCAACCGTAGGAGCCTTCCGTGTTCTCGCAGCCGTGGGAGCAAGGCGGGGGTGTTTTCCTGCACTCGTCGACGTCGTTGCAAGACACGCCATCGTCGTGGAGCTCGTACCCGGACCGACACAAGCAGTAATAACCACCAGGCTCGTTCACGCACTCGTGTTGGCAACCGTGGGGCTCGCCCTCGTCCCCTTCGACGCACTCGTCCACGTCTGAAACATACAAATAGTTTTTTACGCCGAGAGTATTAAAAAATTGATTAAACAGTGATTATACGTACCAATGCAATCGCCATATTTGTTCTTCTTGAAGCCCTCTTCGCACTTCCCGAATTCCACAACTTCCGTCACACCTTCTCCATCGTAGTCGTCGTCGTCGTCGTCGTCGTCGTCGTCGTCGTCTTCTTCGGCGTCGTAATCCTCGTCCTGGAGGACTTTCGTCAACTTCTGTGGCTTGCTCACGCATTTGTACGAACCGACGGTATTTTCGCAATTGGTGTTGTTCGCGCAAATCTGTGACGCGTTCTCGCATTCATTCACATCTAATAACACAGCGTACCGCGAGATTTAGTTACGCGTAACAAAACACGCAAACAATTCCGTAAATAAAATTTACTTTCGATCAGGAATGTCAATTATTGCGATGATTTAACGCGAGCTATATGATTAACCGAGATTATTTTACAGTCTGATATACATAGAATAAATAGATATGGACAGATGCTTAGATTCGTTTCGCATTACGTTTCCAATAAAATACAATTTAACCTATATTGCCCATATTTTCCATACATTTCGTATTACCTCGTTACGTGAAACGTATGAGCGCCACGTGTTGCCGTATTCCTTTCTCGCTACATCACCAAATGCAGATAAAATTGTGCGGAAAGGTACACAGAGTTTTGAAGCGCGACAGTTGTTTGTAACGCGTAAATAAAAATGTTCGATTTATTTTTCTTTGGCGTTGGAAAAAAAAATTTCCAACGCACGTATTGTCCCTTACAAAAGAGAAAGCAACGTTTAGAAAAAGTGGATTAAATTCGACAGTTTGTTTTTTTTTTTACCTTGGCATGTCTTCCAATCGTTCGTCAGATAAAAACCGTCTGGACAAAGGCAGAAAGCGCTTCCAGGAGTGTTCAAACAAACGTGAGAGCATCCTCCGTTATTCGTAGCGCATTCGTCGATATCTTCGCAGGTGTGATTATCCGAGGCCAATTTGTGACCAGCTATGTCGGAGCAGCTACACTCGTAGCTACCTTCAAGATTGATACAAGTACCTTGGCACGGGCCGTGGCCATTATTCAGGAGGCACTCGTTAACGTCTGAACGGGAACAACCAAACAACCTTATAAATTGCTTTCGGAATTGGACGAGGAAAGCTCGCGAGCACGTACACGTTAGTTTAATTCTTCGAATACCGTTGATAATCGATTTGTAGAATACCATTTGGTCATAGAACTTTAGATACCTGTATACAGGGTGTTTGGCCACCTCTGGGAAACATTTTAATGGGAGATTCCAGAGGCCAAAATAAGACGACGCTTCGTTAAAAAGGTATTAAAAAATTAAATTAAAAAAATTTCAAATCATTCTGGAAAAAATATTTTTAGTTGCGGGGGTCAATTGCAATCATTTTTGGTCATTAGACATATCCCCGAAATCCTACGCACTTTCTAGAAAAAAATTCGGGAAGATGAAATTTTTCAGCGAAAAAAAAATTTTCCAAATCGTTCTAAAAAAATTATTTTCGGTTGCAGGGGTCGATTAGAATCATTTTTAGTCAATAGACATACCCCCGAAATTTTACCCGTTTTCTAGGAAAAAATTCGAGAAGTTGTGAAATTTTTCAGCGAAAAAAAAATTTTCCAAATCGTTCTAAAAAAATTATTTTCGGTTGCAGGGGTCGATTATAATCATTTTTGGTCATTACACATGTCCACGAAATCCTACCCATTTTCGAGAAAAAAATTCCTAATCGAAAATGTAATTTATGTTGTCCGAAAAGTTCAAGCGAATCTTAAAAATGTCATAACTTCTGAACGGATTGAAGGATTCTAATTTTCAAAAATGCAAACTACGCGTATTTTAGTGGAGAATATGTACGAATCGCAAAAATATTCGAAAAGTTGTTCCTTGACCCTGTAAAGTTAGAAAACCCCCATAAAAATGGTTCAATTTTCAAACTGCCATCATTCCTACAATAGTGAATATATTTCAATGAAACTTTTTTCTGAAGTAGAGCTCATGGGTACCTATAAAAAAGTATTAGACAACTTTTCTGTAGAGCATCAAACAAATGTATTAAAAATGAAAAACGAATTTTTAAGAAAAATCGACAGGGGGTAGGTAGGTAGGTGCCTCATTTTTCCGGCGAAAAAAAATTCTTTGAAATCGATTTGAAAAAATTATTTTCGGTTGAAGGGGTCAATTACAATTACTTTTGGTGAATAGACACACCATCGAAATCCTACCCACTTTTGAGAAAAAAATTTAGCAAGTGCTAAAATTTTTAGGCGAAATTGAAAAATTTCAAATCGTTCTAAAAAAATTATTTTTGGTTGCAGGGTTAAGTTACTAATATTTTTGGTCAATAGACATACCCCCGAAATCCTGCTCATTTTCGAAAAAAAAAAAAAAATTCAGTACAGACGGAACTTTAAACGTTAATAACTTTTTAACGAATCAACAAATTGGTGTTCTTAATTTTCGTCTTATTTTGTCCTCTAGAATTTCCCATTAAAATTTTTCACAGGGGTGGCCGAACACCCTGTATATGTCTGAGACAGGCGTTTGAAATGAAATCAAAGTAGTCGAACACACGATTTCTCCGACATGTAACCACACGCTCGCTCCTTCGACACTGCGCCATTTTGGTTCGCGGAAAGTGTACTCGGCGCAAAAAAAAATAAAATCAAACGATTTGATTTAATCGTAAAGGCTGCTTGATTTACTTTTATCTCAAAGCGGAGAGCTTTCGCGTAGACGGCGTTTTCGAACTTCAATAAAAATCACGAACGATTGTGGCTTAAAACAGAGAACGCAATATCGATAAAACGTGAACTCCGCGTACAAAGTGTTTCACTTAAAAGTATAAATCTTTGTATAACGTCTCTGCAAAAATCGCTTGCCTGACGAGTGAATTCCACGATTCAGCGTTTTCAAAGAGATTAATACGGAATGGTCGAAAGCGTTCCTTTTTATTCCGAATATTTTGACGTTGTGCTTTTTCAACGTCGAACATAATGGTTTGGAGTATATTGAGAGTTAAAAAAAAAGAGAATTAACTCTGTAAAAATAGAAATGTGCGGAGCAAAGTTCGAACTACTGTTACGCATGCGAGAAGAAGTAATTGAATTATTAAACGAGGATTGAAATATTAAAAAAACACATTCAACGGAAGAAATATAAAGGGAAGTTTCAGAGCAATTGACAAAGCTGTTTCATTCTCAACGAAATTGCAAATTCTATTGCAAAGATAAGTTTATATTTAATATAAAAATAGATAAATATCGCGACTCACCCTGACAGGACTTGTTGTCGGTACCCAATTGAAATCCCGAAAGACATTCGCAATGGAAAGTGCCAGGATCGTTGTGACATATTTCAGCGCAACCAGCTACACCTTCGGCACATTCATCTATGTCTGGGAAGAGGAATAACAAAACTGTTACCAAAATAATTATTTTTATCTAGTCTTTAGCGCGCCGGTGCAGTCTATACGCGCGAATTTCCTTCGTGTTATAACCAACCCAGACCGTAACCCAGCCTAACAATTTTCGACGGCGTGCTACGAACTCCAACTCCAACCCTTTTCAAGAATTTCGAGTGCATACATTCCGCAACAAGTGTCGCAACGGCGTAAACGCGACTTGACATCAACCTTTCACCGAGTTTTCCTCGCAAAACTAACAACGTTCTTCGCGAAACAGTCCGTCACTTGTTTTGATTCCATGAAATTACTGCATTCGCGTTGCCAAACGTCGCACAACGAAGCACAGAAATATCCTAGCGTCGAGAACATTTCTGACGTCGCTCTTGTCGCTAACCAATCCTTTCTGATACGCGAAAATATTTTCATTATATTTAATACATTTAAATTAACATAACACGTTCCATCTGATAAATCTCGATCGATATTAATATTTCCCCCCTGCTATATTCCTAGTACAACGCTTTACTTAATTGTTCCCTTCTTGAGTTTCCATCTAACTTGACCTATTTCCTTGCGTTATCTTGCTCGACTTATCTTAATTGTTTGTCTTTGAAACCATCCATCGGGTGGTCTTTTTCCGAGAACATTTTTCATTACTCCGGTACTGTCTTTGGCTAATATTTATTTTGGCTCCCAGCTATATTCATATATTATTTTACGTTGAGACACGTGTTCCTTTTGTACATGTACAGTTCCACTTTTAATCTACGTACGATTTCGAAGTACTCTGTACCTGAACTTTTTCGCTGTCGTTGCGTAAACGCACGATAATCACGCGTCATAGTTCGTCGCGACTCCGTTTTTATCCGGCAAGAATCTCGCGTAACCGCGACGCGGATATAAATTATAGGTTGCAGATTAGTGTCGCGACATGGATTCCGGTATGGGATCGAGAAAGCTTGTCTGCGAACCGGGGGCGTCGGCGGTTGCACTTGAAACACACTTCGTTTCCAGTTCGCGTTGCGGTCGTTTTCACGGAGATGCCGATTTCGATTAGCATACAATGGAACCGACACCTACATCCAGTTTCGAACGCGTCTACCTGTGCTACGAACATTCGAATCGCGTGCTGCCGATTCTCGAGTTGACTAATCGACGCCAAAGTAGGCCGTGATTTACAGCGAAGAGCAAAATCCACCACGTATTACGTAAATGCAACAATCGTAACTTTCGAACTAATCAATTTTCTATACCTGTTGTACCTTGTATAATAAATAATATTTCATAGCCGTCGAATCACCTTTGACACCAATCCGTGCGTTCGATTTAACAAAGTTTGACGAAACGAGATTTCACGATTTTCGAAATCCCTGTTCGGGAAGCTGTGCTCGTTTTTCTCACGCGTCGAATTACACGCTTCTGCAACTTCACATCCCGGGCCATTCGGATTTCGACGAAGTCGTAGGAAAGAAGCACGAGAGAAACCCGCGTGAAACGTAGATTTTCGGTACAGAGATTCGTAAGCTTCCCTTGTGTGACCTTATCCACCCACGCGACAAGCATAAACCGTGCTGTATCTCAATTTTAGATCACGGGGATTTAACAAATCCAACGATTTACTACATAGATTGTAAGTTACTAGCGACGAAAAGGAACAAAATTCGTTTGCTCTCTTCGATCGAAAATCGTAATTTACTTTCACATTGTTACTTCCAAATTAAACGATACATTCTTAATTTGGTATTTTGTTTCTAACCTTGTAAAAGAAAAATTATAATTTAATTAAATTATAAATGTCTATTTTCTTTATACAGTTAAATTGTTATTAAATGGTTTATTTTAAATGCACGTTACCTATGCAGGAATATCCTTTGACGCGAAATCCATGGAAGCAGGAGCACTCGATGCCCGTCTCGGTGTCTTCGCACTTATGCTCGCAGCCACCCCTGTCCAGACTGCAACGTTTCACGTTATCGAGTGTCGCTTCTGAAACAAAAGCCAACGAATGTTTCTCTTTGTAGATCGACGATCTTCCAAAACATTCCTCGATGTGAAACGAAAAAATAAGTGTGTGTTTTGGACGACAATTTTTTGAATATTCTATGGACGTAATGTTTCAATTTGTCGCTACTTGCCTTCCGTTTTTCTGCAACGCGGAAGAGCGCCTAACCAATTGCCATCGCTGCAGAACAGTCGATCTGCCATCGAGTCTTCGAAATAGAAACCCAACTTGCACTCGTAAACCGCAACGAGGTATCGATTGTAAGGTGGAAGTACGTTTTTTCTTCTGTAAAAATATGCAGAGAAATTTGTAATTACAGTCTAATAGGCTAATAGATTTAGGTTTCGAAATGCGCAATATGTTCCTGTCATTCGGCTGGTAGCCTCAGGGAGACACGAACCTGGCATATTTGGCAGGATTGGCGTTTTCCACTTTAGGGGCTTTCGCAAATCCTTTCTTGCCAGCTTTCATGAAGCAGCTCAGATCCAGCTTTGACATTATTGTTTCATTTAAGGCAACGACTGCTGACGCCGGGGGTGGTCCGGACGAGGACTTCTCAGCGATTTGCTTCCGCCTCTTCTCCTTCGCTTTCCTGCGTTTCTTCAGCTCCCCGATTCTCTTACGCGCCCTCAGCCGTTCTCTCGCCACTTTTTCCTCCAGCGGAGTCGTTGAAATTGGATCATCGCCGAGGTAAAGATCGTTGCGGAAGTGCTGGGATCTGTTGTCTGCATGGGAAACAAAATTGCGGTGAAAATTACAGAAATAATGCTACGAATAATCCAGTACAGACAGCAAAGACAATTTATTCTCGAGGCAGACTGTCGAATATAAAAACGTTTTGTCCACGCCGGAAATATATCGACGGATCATCCGCTCTTCTAATCCATTTCAACGGTAAACTCCTAATCTGATACGCGAGCTTTACAGTCGAATCCTGGAACGCTTTGACGGCTTAATAAACGAATAAATTCGCAGATCGCAGTTAGATCAGAGGAGAGCGGATTTACTCGTTCCGAGATAATATCGGTGAAAAATATTTTTGTTGGGCAACTATATACCGGAAAAAAAGATATTTATAGCGCCTAATAACAGATATTTACCGAATACATATTCCGCGGTCGTTTCTGAAGCCCAAGAACGAGTTCGAGCGAATCATATTTTCACAAAGGATTAATAGATTTCTCCGTCGAGATTACGCGGACCATAAATCACGATCAACGATCTTATTGTCCGATCGTTTGTCAGGTATTCAATGTCATTTGTCGATGGTCGTAAGAGATGCCTTGGGTTAACTTGCAATCGATACGTCGCTCTCGAGCAATGAAAATTGTCCCGAGTCCACTGATCTGATTCGCAACCACTTTTTACCCAAATACATATAGCCTCCGTCGTTGAAACTAGACGTTCGTCAATTCTTAATAGTTAGTTTTCTAAAATAAGGCAGTAAAAATAAACGTAAAGAAGAATTGCTGTTACGAGACTGGATCTTGACTGCGCAAAGGAACCATACTTCCTGTCTAGGGTTGGGCGCACAATGGACTAATGCGTCTGGTTTACTCCGAGGCACGTTGGTGCACGCTGTTGCAACAATCTGCTGCTGTCCGCAGGTATTTTACGCGGTGGCTTTTTTTTATTGCGGTGCCTTTAATTCACCGCTGAATGCGTTGATTTAGCAACGGTAACGAACGATCTAGAAGGCACACGAGCTAATCGACTCTGGATTCTGATAGAGCTAAAACGACGACAAAAGATTCGTTTCCGGTTGAATCATTGGTCAAAGCCACTGAATAAAATTATTACTTGCAACACGGTACGATCACGAAATTCTCGAACAACCCTCGCAAGTTCACGATACAAGTTGCTGATTCGCGAACCGTTAGCATGCAGTGGCAACATAAGGAAAATAGATTAACTAGCAAGATGATCAGGTCCCTGGACGATATTGCTGCAGTCGACTGTACCCTACGCACGATATACGATATCCGTTCGCTTATCTCGATCGCGGCAAATTCAAGGTATGCCGTGCCGTTGAATTTCGTGCCCCTGAAGCACGCTGAATGGGGAACAAGGGGCGACGCGTCCGGGAGGGCACGTTCCTTAACCGCTACTCGAGAAATTTCCGAACCACTCCAAGAACGTTCTGCAGTTCTCCACGGATCCGAGTTATTTCTGGGTTAAGCCATCAAATCGATCGAGAATGGACATTTCCTACGATCAGTTTCCAAATATATACAAAAGAATTTCGGAAATTTAATAATAAGAAGTACCTAGGATAATAAAACAAATATATTAATAAGTCTCCTAAATTCAATAATAGCAAAGTGATCTAAATCACGGATTTCCTTCAGGTTCGCTCGAATGAAATTCGAACCATATTTCGTTTTTATCTACGACGAATCCATCGCGAAATCCCTCGTAAAGCATAACGGTATCCGTAGTAATTTGATAACTCGTAAGAAGCTTGCACGACAGTAACACAGATCCGTGGCTTATCGAGCAAATAAATCACAAAGCTTTTACAGAAGTACGCTTACCCGTGATCCCATCTCCGCTTCAATGGTTTCTCCAAGAACTCCCATACCCCCCCACCGTCTCGCGTCTCCGCCAGTTCCTGTCCCCATATTTCCATAAGAGTATCACTTATTTGATTTACAATCGCCGATACGCTCCCTCCTCCCTTCCCCCCCGAAAATGTGTTCACCCTTGGACGCGATCGGAGTGCTCGTATGCGTTACGCCAATCGTCACGCGACCCTATCTAAAGTGCCACGACACTTTGAGATTCCCTCTGGGGACATTATCGGCCGCCCAAGGCATCTCCGTGAAAGTGGGCTCAATAAATACGTTACTGTTCGCAAATCTTTAGCGCGGTCTGTATCAAATTTTATCCTAGATTCCACTATACTTCGATCGGTGCTTTGTACCGACTGGTTAAACATTCCCCTACTTTAAAAACGAATATCAATGTTTTCGACCCTCCGCATTGGTATTTTGCGAACTTTTTGGCCTCGTTATTCGAAGGCTGCTTGATCCAAGTGTATCGAGGGCTTCTCTTAGATCTTCCTTGCCGAGATCTTGTATTATTATACACAGTGGCACGGTTTGCGCCGTATTTACTTTTACTCCGGCTAGGAGCGGAGTCGGAGCGTAAAATCAGTATCCTTTCGGCTCAATCACCGCCGTTTTGTCGGAATCGGGCATTCCGGAAAACGCACACAATGCCACGGACGTTGAAAGGTTCGTGGGAGGATTCTGTCGATGACGTTGCACGAAATCAGTACCCTCTTTGTCGCGCGACCTTTTCAAGCCACGGAGCTTCTTGAATCCGATGGAGTCATCGGTTCGCGATATTATCGGGGAACAGGGGCAGGGTTGGCGATGTAGTTTCAATTAGACACGAACACGAAGAACAGGAGAGGCGAAAATTGTAGGACTTTCTCGATTGCTTGCCTCCGGTTTGCCGGCGTAATATCGACTCGCAGACCCCGACACCCGACGACGAAGATTTAATAGTTGGCGTGGACAAAACTGAGAATTAAAATCTTCGCGTGGCCCGATCGGGCCGTTAATTTTACTTGGATCGCGGGGTTAATTGAGTTTTCGCGCGACGAACGACGTCGCCGACGCGACTTTAAAATGCAATCGAACATGGCGACGTGCAGCAATTAACCGAAGAATCGATACTCGACTATTTCCATAGTTTTGTCAGAACTGTGCTGGGCACTCGACGAGTCCTGGAAATTGTGTATTTTTATCATAGAAAATGTTATTTATGGAAGTTGTAGGGTTTATGAAAGTATATAATATGGTGAAAATCTCGTTAACGATTTTAGGTTCATAGAAGAGGAATTTGTGCTAGAGCTAATCATTTTTTTTCAGGTGTCGTCCATTCCGCTCTGCACAATATTTCAAGAGCGTTGCAACGTGAAACAAATTGGTACTTGAAAACAAGATCATATCGGGCATACGTTTTGTACGAACATTTTTCTTATTTCGGAGTGCGGAATCCATTCCTGCTGCACTTCCAACATGCAACGAGACACCCTATATGTATAACAAGAAAAATTACACCTTGGGGAGCCGTATACGATCAATAGGACCATATACATAAAGTAGAGTAACTAAAATAATTTCCATCGGAGGTTGAAACTGCGTTAAAATAAAATAAAAAAGTAAATAAATACGAAAGTTAGTAATTTCAGGTCGTCGAGTATCGGTAAAGTTGGAGAATTTAATGACGCTTCATAAAATACTAGCGGTATTAGCCACGCGAGAATAGCCAAGGTCAACGAAACCGGATGAAATTCCTGAACGCAGAGCAAATTCACCAAAGACGAAATAAAGGCAAGGGTGACGTCCCCTGGCCGGAGAAGAGGACGTCTTTCATCTTGGATGACGAACGGGAAAACGAAATCGTTTGGTATTCAGCGCGGGGATATTAATTTCCGTGAGAACGGATAGAAGAATCGCGGCCAGGAACGCGATTAAGGGAATTTTTATTCCAACTCCCTACGAAACGCCCCCCGTCCTCCATCTTCGCGTCGATTTTAAGGCCAGAAAAATGTGCGAGCACCTTATTTCTCGTTCAAAGTGGTCCAAAAAGAATTGAGTTGGTGTTATCGTAACAGAAATTAGATAAAAAAAGACGATTTCAATGCGCGCGAAACCGCCGGTAACGGTTAATTATTTGAGGGAGGGAGGCGGGGGATTTTGTAGTTATATTCGGTAACAATGGCCCGGACTGTTAACCGAGTTTCCAGCAACGGGCCATTAAAAGTGCGTTTCAAACGCGAGAGTGTTGAAAGTTCGAATTAAAATAAAATCGTGCCGGACGATTCATGCGCTGAGTGCACGCCTGATTTTCCGCTTTAATTCCCGCCCTACACGCCCCTCCTCCCACCATCCTCCAAAATTACACTCTGAAATTTACATCGCGCGACAGACTAACGATTTCTAACGTTTACCATTATCAAAGTGCATCTTACGACTGGTTTTATCTCGAATTTAGTAAGAAATAAACAACATTTGAGAGAGACTATATATATTTATTATGATTTCCTACGTCCATTCCGTAAGATAATATTTACTCCGCGGTGTCTGCCGTCGACAAATTATGAAACTGCCTTTTTAAACTATTTCAAACGTATAGAAAGTACGAAGAAGTCGTTTACGATGGAGTGGATAAGACGCTTTGTCCTTTAACAAAGGAAAGTTCTGCAAATCCCAGGATAAGCAGTAGTCTTGGACAATGTATTCCCGGAATTCCAGAAATTTGTAGACTCCGCCGAGATATAATGCAGGAAACAATTAGTCTGAACCAGACGAAAGCCTCCGGAAGAGAGAATGGAACGACTTCTTGAAAATTATGAGAGGAGAGGAGAGATTGTAAAGATGAACGAAACTTGCAAAGTTTGTAAACAGTATAATTGATTTTTCAGGAGTGTCGAGTTTAAGGTATGGCATGTTTCAAAAATAATTACAAAATTAAACAGACCTTGTTATTATTCTTACTCGTTGAACTCATCTCTGAAGAATTTAAACGATTGTCTGCATTTTATGAAATACACTCTAAATTGGCAAACTTTGTCAAAGAATAATATAATTTTGCTTTGTCTTACCGTTATCACCGGTTACACAATAAAGTCTAAAGTACTATTTATTTCGAGTGCAAAATGATGAAAGCTACGCGAGGTTAATTGTCAGTGAAATTTATCGTTATGAATAAA